GATGGAAGTTGTGCGGGTGGAGGCTTCTTCCCCTGCGGCAATATTAGATATTCAGAATGTGCGTCCTGAATCTACTGCGTCTGCGAAAACTGCGCAATTAACGCCTTCTGGGTCTGGCATCGAAACAGGCATCCCAGCCGGAGATACCCACATGGTTTCCAAGGAGTTTCTTGCTATTTATACAGCAAATTTCTGTGCGCACGTCTACTTTAATGGGATATCGGCTGTCACTTGACAGCTCATAGCCACAAACGTACAACGAAACTTTCGCAAATGAGCACACGTTTTTGCCGTCTCTTTCGAGTGAGCCTTTAAGCATCTTCTGACGGCAAAAGCTGCAAAGGACCAATTATTTATAGGGCTACTGCTACGTTTAAAGGCTTTAGTAATAACTGTGCCGATAGAATTGAAATATTTTTGAGTCGGACGACGGCGTTCGCATACTCAAAACACTACTGGTAGATAAAACCCAGAGCCCTGTTGCAGGGAGAGATGCCTTTGTTGCTATATCTTGAAAATGTAAATTAATTTATATGAGGAGATTCCATAACTATTCAAACGGAAGAGTAAGCTATCTGAATTTAGTATGAACTTAAATGTTAGTAAAACGGGGAAAAGCATCCAGTCCAATTGGTTTTTATGACGAACGCGCAGAATGTATTTGATTTAAACCCTCTCTGCAAAGTACGTCCAAGTTACGATCGCCGTTTAAGCGGTAAAGCTATTTTTTGCTTTATCCCCTGAACATAGTGTTACCTTTTAAACACTGATGGCTGGATGTCTGCTATATTAGACTTAAATTCCTTTTTGGTTACTGTAACTGTCGGGAAGTTTAAAAATCTCTTGAAGATGGACAGTCTGTAAATGTACGTACAGTTGGCTCCCGTCTGTTCGCGGTCCGGTATTTGCGAATTTCCTTTTTTCGTAAAGCGTATCGGAAATATACGCTAAGTATTTCCATCCGTTTTCGTGACTAAATACATTTTCTGTGGTAAAAAAATGGTTAATTACCTTAAATATTAATATAAACGTAAACACAGCAAGTATTATTAGTGTTTTAGGATGATAGCTTAGGGAATATGCGGTGTACGAACGTTAACGTAGGCAAGTATAAACGTTTGTAGAGGGTTCTCAAGCACTCGCGGATTTCAACTACTTGCGGTAGCTGTGATCCCTAAGTCTCACGACCGAACTACCCACTAGTGCAGGTTTAGCTGACAGTTTCCTTTCAGTAGCATAAACTCGGCTATTCTCAATACGTTACAATTTAACAGAAGAACCGTCTAAAGACCTTGACATAAATCGATCCATATTCTCCCGATTGGATGGTGCGGAGCACTCGAACATACCGCTACTCTATCCATGAACCATAGTCTACCAGACACCTCTTGGGATTTTTAGACCTGGAACCATACTTAGTCTAGCATTCGAACTACATGGGTGAAATCTAAAATGTCTAACTAACATGCATAATTAAGAAATTTTGTCAAAGGGTACTGCATGCTCCCCAATCTGCAGGTTAGGTCATCAGCGTTCGGTGAGAAAAAAGAACATTTAGTTCCGGTTATGGCAAAATTTTCAAAAAAGACTAAAGCCTACATTTAAAAAGATCCGTATCAAACTCAAAACCTCGAAATTTGAAACTCACCTGCTGGCGAAGACTATAACAGCATCTGCCGAAATGGATAAATCACAAACAAGCAGTACACCACTATCAGGCTGTAGAGACTTTACAATACTCGTCGGATTTTCGACTTAACATCTGATCGTCAAGAGGTCCACAAAACGGGTATTCGCACCCCCGGTAGAGGGCAGCCACTCTCCATGGCAGTTGCGGTCAAATAAACGCTCGCCTTAAATGGTGCTGCCTTTGAGATCAGTGGAAGTTTAAAACTGTTTCTGTATCTTAACAGAATAGGCGACATCACCCCCTTTTGCGGTTAATTTGTTTTATTTTGACATGTCCCATGAGGGGAACAATTTACGTCAGGGCTGACATCGTTTTCTGTGTTTTTGGCGCCACTGCCTTCGTGTTAGCTAAAAGGCGATCCTTAAACTGAGGCCTCGCCTGGTGCCTGGGCTTCTTGCTTAACTTGCACCATTAACTTAACTGCAGTCTCATGTTCCAGAAAATTCCTCGGTCGCAGTTTGGAGAGCCTGATTTTCACATGAACAGGTAGTGTCACTCCGTACTTATCTTTGTCTTGTTGAGCTACTTCAGGAGTTGGAAGCACCATTTATTTTGCTTGTTTCTTCTGCAAAAGCTGAGAGACGACAGCACTCGGGGGGCTGTGTTTCGCCAAGCAGAGTCAAACTGAAGTCTGTTCAGTGACCTTTAGGAAGCCTCTACAGATGCACTAAGATCTATCCGGATGCCTCCTGCATGAAAACGGACTTGCTTGGTCAAGTTTGTTGCACGAAACAGGTATACTTATATTAAAAAGTTTTTAGGATATTCTGTCAAACGCCTAACCAAACAATTAATGTGATCTGGCTCGTAGAATCATATGAATTCTTCAGAATTTCTCATTACTACCAGTGCCGCATTAATCTCTTCAGAAGTCTGTGTTAATACTGATACACTCGGAGTTTTACGTAACGCTGGCTAATCCGCAAGTGTATACACCTTGTCTGCGGACCATATGTGGTCACACGGGAAATATGATGATAGTACGGAGGATATGGGCGAATCTTATACCCTTGAGATAAAGACTCCCATAAAAGGGGTAGAAATACTCTACGACGGCAGTTGAATAGCCATTGCCGATTGCGACTGCTATGCCCGGTTAAGTATGGTACGTTGCAACGTGAGAATATTGACAGCAGGGTTCGTGAGCATTCTTATCAGAGACTGGTTGTAAGCACAAACCAGACGAACGTGGCAAATGTCTTTACCAAAGATTTCCCACAATTAACCCACACGCACCGTTGAAAATTCTCAGAAACTAATTCAATCTAATCTGAAGTAATTAGTCAAGTGAAATCCAACAATTAACTGAACGACGCTCTTATTCGTTCTATTAAGTCTGAGCGACAAACCAAATGTCCAGACATGTAATTTTATAAGTAAAAGAGGTAGTAAGACACGTCATCCCTACCAAAGCGTATGCTGGTTGCAGATTCAAAATTCGGAAGTTAAGTTACTTCTTAAATGGAGGTGCGATGATAACTTGGCCGGCGAAATAGATTTAGGCCGTCGGCTGGGCTAAAGACAGTAGAAAGGATAAGAAACATATATTAATTTCCGAGGCACATCGTCAGTTAAGGGCTGCAAACAAATTTACCACTCCTAACCACCGGCTATGAAGTACGCCATCCATGGCAACGTAGTGATGAAGACTTTTATCTGGACTCGCTGGCCTATACTGCTTTTAAGGAGTTTGTGTAGATTTTACAGTGAAAACATCATCAAAAACACTAGCGAACCGTGTTCATCAAATTACTTTTATTTTTGGTTCTGGTTCCCGAGAGACATTGCACAATGGTAAAGGGGCGCTCACCAGTCGCGTTACGGGACACACTCTTCTCGTTTTGTGCCTTGGGGTTCAATCTCGAGTTTCACCAGCGAATGCCTACTGGCCAGTAGTATAGGTCAGTCCAGTCTGGCTTGTCTTTATCGGTAATTGTACAGCTAGGCCATAATGTTTCTTTTGATAGATCACTTAATCTGGATAAAGAGGTCCTTATCAGAAAGAACTGGTGGGCTGCCAGAAAATAACCAAATTCCGACGAAAACGAGATTGAGTACTGAACGACCCCATCCAACAGTACGGGAAAACTAGCCAAGTTATTTGAATGGGGTCTGTAGATCCGCCTAGTCTTGCTAAGTACTGTTTTAAAAGATTTTTCAACTATACTCATTTTTAAAGACGACTGTACCATTTATAACAGGATCAACCGAATTTGAGAGAAGGTTTTCTGTTCACCGTTATTTTCTACTTTTTGACTTCATCTGCAGTTACTTTCCGCTTCGCTACCGGACTGAATATTCAAAAATATTCAGCTTTGTTTTCTAAAGGAATGTGCCATCATTGCACCGGTCAAATTATTTTGCTGGCTGCTCAATCAACTCAAAGTTAATCACTTTTATTACACAGTATCCTGCTGCAGGGCAACCACACCTAATCTCGCATGCTGGCCTGCGCACACTTGACCAACTTCAGATCGTACACACGTGATGTCCAGACAACCAGGGCCGTCTACGCCCTAAATGGACCCACCACCCTTCCACTAATGCAACAAAGACCACTCCCACACCACAGCCATAGGGTAACGCAACAAACATTATTAGACCAAGCAGTCTCTACCCGACTACAAGGCACATAAAAAATCACCTGACACCATAGTCTCTCCTTCCCTCCCCGGCATGACTTGGAAACACAAGCACACACCTAAGCCTAGGCAACGGTCACGGCTGCCTAAGGCATCAACACAAGATACTGCACACGATAAACACCTCATTTTGGTGTCTTCTCTCTTATCCAACCGCTAGGGGCTTGGCCTGATTATTATGGCCTTCCTGGGTACGCCTGTTACTTCAGCCGTTAAAATATGTGGCAGAATGTAGCAGTTTTGGAACCCCTCCGGCGAGGCATTCCTTGCTAAAGGATTGAAGCTATATATTTTAATCAAGTCATGAATAAAACCACTGCAGCCTAGAATTTCCCTTCCCTTTTAAACAATCTGAGGAGGAACCGACCGTAACGGAGGACGACGATAGTGGCTCGGGAACTGGCGCGCTACAAGGTGGACATAGCCGCACTCACCGAGACCTGTTTCTCCGAACAAGGGCAAATGGAGGAGGTTGGTGCCGGCAACACCGTCTGGAACGGTCACTCCATGACAGAGCGAAGGAACGCGGGCGACGCCTTTGCCATCCGGAATGAAATCGTGTGACGACTGCCCTGTCTGCCACAGGGCATCAACGACTGCCTGCCGAGCCTCCGTCTGCCTCCACGAAGAGCCAATTCACCATCATCGTCAGCGTCTACACTCCACCGATGACCAGCCTGGATGCTGCAAAGAGCAAACTCTACGATGACCTGCACGCCCTCCTGGCGTCTGTGCCGAAGGCGGATAAGTTGATTGCCCTTGATAACTTCAACGTCCGTGTCGACACAGACCATGCTGCCTGGAAAGGAGCGCTGGGTCCCCATAATCTCGACGGCTCCAATGACAATGGCCTGTTCCTCCTACGAACCTGCGCAGAACACCGGCTTATTCTGACCAACACCTACTTCCGCCTCCCGATGCGAAGGAAAGCCAACTGGATGCACCATCGGTCGCGACACTGGCACCTGATGGACGGTGTCCTCGTCTGGTGGCGAGACCAGCGGGACGTGCTGATGACAAAGGCGATTCCAGGTGCTGACGGGTGGACCGACTATCGCCTCGTCACCTCCGAGATGCGAACTCCCCTACGGCCTCGCAGGAGACCTAAAGATAAGCGTCCCCCAGGTAAGCTGAATACTGCTTTGTTGTCTTTGCCTGATCACCGTCTCTATTTCAGCGATGAGCTAACTCAAAGACTAGCCGACCTTCCAATTGCCGCCGCTGCCGCCGAGGAGAACGCCTCCGTGGAGAACCTATGGTGTCAACTGCGGAACACAGTCCAATCGACGACCCTGGCTGTCTTTGGTCGCGTACGTCGCCAATATCAGGACTGGTTGGATAACGACGTCGCCATCAGCCACCTGCTCGCCGAGAATAGCCGCCTGCACAAAGCCTACGTCAGCCGCCCTACCGAGGACGACAAAGCAGCCTTCTACCGTAGTCGCCGCCTTGTGCAGCAGCGGCTGCGGGAGATGCAAGACGCTTGTACGGCTCCCAAGGCCGAGGAGATCCAAGGGTATGTGGACCGCAGCGAATGGAAGAATTTCTTCTCTGCGATCGAGACTGTCTACGGTCCGTCAACCAAAGGAACTGCTCCTCTTCTCAGCGTCGACAGGAGTGCCCTAATTACCGAGAAGACACAAAGTCTACAGCGATTGGTCGAGCACTTCAGAGGCGTCCTCAACCGTCCCTCCACAATCTCCGGCGCCGCCATCGCCCGTCTGCCTCAAGTGCAGACCAGCGCCGACCTAGACCTCACGCCTGCTTTACGCGAAACCATCTAGGTCGTGCAACAGCACTTCGGCGGGAAAGCGCCGGATCAGACACGATCCCTGATGAGATCTACAGGCACGGTGGCCTCCAACTAATGGATCATCTGACGGGGCTTTTGCGGGAGATGTGGCGTCAAGGACAAGCCCCTCAGGATTTCGAGGACGCCACAATCGCCCACCTCTACAAGCGGCAAGGTAATTGCCAGCTCTGCGACAACCATCAATCCATCCCCTTGCTGAACATTGCCGGGAAGATCTTCGCTCACATCCTTCTCAACCGCCTGAACAACCATCTGGAGCAGGGTCCCCTGCCGGAGAGCCGGCGCAGCTTTCGTCGTCAACGTGGAACTACGAACATGATCTTCGCCGCCCGACAACTGCAGAAGTGTCAGGGGAGGCGTACCCACCTCTACTCTACAGACAACGGAACTGTCTCAGAGGCATTCGCAGTGACCAACGGAGTGAAGCAGGGCTGTGTGCTGGCGCCTACCCTCTTCAGTCTCATGTCCCCTGCCATGCTGATGGACGCCTACAGTGACGAACGCCCTGAGATACGCGTCGCCTAGAGGACGGACGGCCACCTCCTCAATCAGCCGCGAATGCACTTCCAGTCGCGTTTATCCACAACCACCGTCCACGAACTCCTGGTCGCCGATGACTGCGCCCTCAATCCAACTACTGGAGGAGACATGCAAAAGAGCATGGGTCTCCTGTACGCGGCCTGCGACAACTTTGGCCTGATCATCACCGCGGAGAAGACGGCCGTCATGCACCAACCGCCACCCAACACTGCCCAGAATGCGCCGCAAATCAGCGTGAACGGAACCCAACTGCAAGTGGTGGACAACTTCATGTATCTGGGCAGCACATTCTCCCGCAGCACCAAAATCGTCAATAAAGCGGCCCGCCGGATTCCCAAGGCCAGTCAAGCCTTCGGTCGTCTTTAAAACACAGTTTGGAATCGTCATGGTCTTCAACTCATCACGAAAATGAAAACGTAAAAGGCCGTCATCCTACCGACGTTGCTGTATGGAGCAGAGACCTGGACGGCGTACATGAAGCAGGCACGCAGACTCAACTGCTTCCATCTCAGTTGTCTTCTTCGAATACTGAAGATGAGGTGGCAGGACTGGATCCCGACACGGATGTGCTGGAGCGGACGGGAATCTTCAGCATCTACACTATGCTAAGACAACTAAAACTATGCTGGAGCGGCTAACCCTGTACGGATGGGCGACGAGAGATTGCCGAAACGATTCTTCTATAGAGATGTCGTGACGGGTTCACGCCGACAAGAAGGTCACGTCCGGCGACACAAGGATACTCGGAAAACCTCCGTGAAGGGTCTGCTGATAACCCGGCAAACCGGGAAGACCTCGCCCGTGACCGATCTACGTTGAGAATAGTGGAGACTGGCGCAGCAATCTTCGAAGCCAACCGCATCATCGCCGCCAAAACCAAACGCGAGATCCGCAAATCTCAACTGCCGCCGTCGCCGTCAAATCCCAACTGCTTTCAACGTGTCCACGTTGTCAACGGACATTCCGGGCGCCAATTGAACTTGTTGGACACCTCTGGACCAAGTGCGACACCCGGACTGCACCAACCGAAGTTTCTCTGCCCACCTCCCCCTCATCTCCCACGCCGTCAACTAACGTTGATCGTCCTCCAGAACCATCACTACCATCATCCTCCTCCTCCTCCACCACCAGCTGAAAGTTTGCCGCTGTGGCGTCTGCCATGTCCACCAACACTACACACAATCCGTACACACCAACAATACCACCATAAGCACCAATGATGAGGAACTGGTCATAACCTGTCCTCATTGCGATCACGCCTTCACCTCACACATCGGCCTGGCCGGTCAGCAGCGAATTCATCGCACAGAAGCTGGCGAATCGGTGCCTGGAGCACCAACCTACACTCGTCGCATTCGCCTCCACTGTCCACACATGCGCATCCACGAGAGCGGAATAGACCGCAGCACCGACACGCCTGGACCATCCAGCACACCCACCATGACTAGCCCCGCCCACACTCCACCACCCAACGCGCCCACCGCCACCAGTTCCATCACAGTCAGTACATCGTGCACACCCACCATGCTTAGTCCAACCCGCACCATCGCCATTGCCGAAGCTGATACTGACACCACCTACTTCTCATGTCCACACTGTCCCCGTATAATTACCTCACGCATCGCCTGGTCGGTCACTTACGAATCCATAGGACAGACTGATGAACCTGTGCCTGGAGCACCAACCACACTAGCTGCATCCGCCTCCACTGTCCACATTGCCCTCACCACATAGGTCTATTAGGCCACACGCACATTTGCGAAAACCTGCGGTAGACAACCGCCGGCTGCACCAACCCATCACATCCCCCCTCACCAGCATCTCACCGCACATCAAAATCACCCACCGCAAGCACCCAACTGCTGCCTCCCACGCAAGTGGGAAGTGTGTCTCGCCTCTTTCTCTATGTGGCTTTCCTGCTGCATGTGTGATCGGAATCTGAGATGTAGACGGTGCGCCGAGCACCGTGGATCGAAAAGCAGCCAACTGATGCCCCAACTCAGTCCACTCTCAGCTGTGTGTTGTGTGGAGTGACGGACTGTCCCGGCCCCTTCTCAAGCGATCTGTGACACTCCTGTGCATGTGAGGAGTGTTTGTGTGTGTGCTTTATGGGTAGTGCCTCTCAGTCAATAACTGACTGGTGATGTCCCAGTCTAAATGTAGGGCAGTGTGTCACCTTTCTGGACCTCCAGGATTGGAAGGGTCTGCTATGCCAGGATCAGAAAACTATGGCTTTCGCGGCCTAGTGTGCGCTGGCAGTTCTCTAACACCTTGTTCCCTGCCGGTAAATGTGCTTACGTTCCCGCTGGGTATATGGGGCGTACACCTGACTGCCCAGTCCTCCTCGTCGTCTTTCTGACTCGTTCTGGTGCTGTTGTTGGTTAAAATCCTGGTCAAGTGTTTGTCGTAGACCAGGGGGTGTGGTGGCACGCCTAGGTGCGGGTCCGCCGTGCCAGTTACCTGCGCCCTCCCTCACCTCCGGCTATCATGACTACGTCCTGACATCGGACCCAGGTGGGGAGGAGGGAAGAGTGTGGTAGATGATGCGCAAGTCTACTCTCACTATAAACTAATTCCCGAGCAAGTCACTGTGCCTGCCTCACCTTGATGTGGATCACACGGTGGACGTCGTCGGTTGCTACGGTCGAAATGTCGATACGGTCGCTGATTTAATATACTTGTTTCGAACGGGTGCATGTGTGAAAATCTGACGGTCGGGCTGGAACATTTAGGCTGCATGTGAATGACCTGAGCACATAATGCTGCCGCTTGAGAAGTTGGCTAAAATGCAATTCGGCCACAGACAGGCCTGTCGAACGACACCATAATTAGTAACCGGATTAGAAAAAGGGCTTATGTGTACCGCTTCAGCTAACGACTAACCTGACAGGTGCTAGCACTGTCGGGTCTTGCGTGATTTGCGCGCGCGCTCGCACACACAACATGCAAAACTGCCAGAATATATTCTGGAACGTGAGAGAATCAACCGAAGTGCACGCGATATATGACAACTACTTCTCTGAGCTCAGAATGGATCAACTACGCGCTTGGTAACAGGTTTGTTCCTGAGGAGGATTATAGTGAGGAAAATCAGACTCATCGGATTCGCGTGGAATGCATTTTGCATTGGATTCACGACCGACTTTCGATGTTCTACGTTCCAATGGTGGACCGAGTCGACACGGTGGAACCTGGCAGCAGCTGACCAGGCATTTTAAACCGGCTTGCGTGTGGCACCTAATAGTTTCGAGTGATAGCAGAAGTAAACTTTACATACGACATATGCAATATTTACGATGGACGCCGCATAAGGCGAAACTGTTTTAATGCTCTTGGCCGCAGCCATAATATTCAAAGGTGCGCGGATGATCTGCGTCTCCTCCAATGGGATGGAAGTGGGGAAAGGTCAGGCAGAGTCGACCTCGCCCCCCTCTTTTGCTCACCCATTCTGAGCGGCCAGTCGCCTCGATACGAGATTTGGGAACAGATGACCAACTGTTTACTCCCGTCTTACGCGTGCTGAACGCACGCTGCTGTCGTACTAGACCATAACACGGGAGTCACAAAAGTTCCGGCATGCATTAACAGGGGAGCTCTGGGCCCTAAATGCCATCAGGCGTCGAATGCGCTAGAGGGAGCCCCTAGACGCGATATCACCACCTGTCGCCCAACAACTTGCATAAGCCATTAATTTTGGAGGACAGAGACTAGGGTCGACGTTGGTGTACCCATCATCATGGCATTCTAGGGCATTTCTCATCAAGTCCGGCGCGTTCGTAACTGTCATGACGCGCGATGCAGTGGGTCGAAAAATAACTGGCTGGGACGACACGGCCCTCTCTTAAGACAGACGAGTGGCCTTTTAGTGCGTCCTTTATGGCACCTTACACTTATGCAACGCTCGAGTCTGTGAGTGGCACGCCACAGAAGACGACTTCATCACGTCGTCCACTGCGCCCAATTTGAGTTCTAGTCCGCTTTACTCGGACAGGCCACCAGGACAAATAAGAGAAACCGATCCATCCTACGTCAAGTGATTAGTTTATCCGCTATAAATAACTAGGCGGGCTGTGAAACCACCACCACCTAGTAACGGTCGCAGTTCAAGAGGTTGCCGACTGACATGATAACTTGGCTCTCTTCGGGTCTGGGAGTCAGACCGCAGTGGCTTCTCAACGTGGCCTCTGTGGCACTCTAATCTATACGAAACTGGGGATCCTCTCCTCTTTGAAACCTAGTTCGTGTGAAGTTAGGTGCAAAGTTGTGTATAGCACACGTAGATGAGTTAGTCCAAAACCAGCCATTAGGCCCACACGCGTATCCAGTTGCCTCGACGTCGTCTTACTAGAGGAGCATGGCGGGTGTCAGCGTGGAGGTCAAGGAAAATGCAGCACAAGCCTACTCCACTTTAAGCGGCCGCATGCAAGTCACTACTGCTGTCTCAGGGCGGACTGAGTTACCCCTTTTCACATAAAAATTGGACCTCACCCGGAATTTTGTACGATTTCAGGTTCGATGCGGTTAAGGCACATGGCAGTGCGACATTTCCTGCAGTATCCGCGACGCGCGAGCATGCATGCAGGGCATTCAAATTAAAAATAGACAATAAACTCGAAAACTAGTATTACCGTGTAAGTGAAAAGTGGTCAGATGAGACCGGGATGGTAAAAGTAAGTGTACACACGTAGGCGCCACTGAGTGGTAATAAGGGGGAAAATGAGTGGGGTGAGAATCCTGACTGAAACTAGAGGCAGACATAATGACCTGGTGGTGTACCTCCTCTTTCGCACAAATGTCAAAGTACCGATCTCTCTGGTGGACATCGCACGACTGTGCACTAGAACTGGAAATACACAACATATAGGAATGCAATCGGTGTGCTAGGCACTCGGACGCGCATAAACAGTGTGAGCGCATCACGTAAATGCTGCTTACGTGAATGCCACCGTAAAAATCGATGTTGGAAGCACATATAAAGCACTTTTGTAATTTCCAGGTTCTTGTTTATGCTTAAGTTTGAGTGTAAATAGAGGTGCTCTGTTGGGAGGGGAAAGATGCGCGCCTAAACACACTGTAGGGAGAGATGTAAAATGTGCCTGTGTATTAGCATATGCAAGATATGCATACATATAGGTGTATAAAAATAAAGCGAAGGAGACTGTTAAGTCAAGATTGTGGCGCTGAGGATGAGTGGTATGGTGTGTAGGGATTGTGTTAATGGTATTGAGTGAGAGACGGTAAGCTAAAACCGAAAATAAATGACTAGACACGTTGATGGGGTTGGTGACGACAGAGCGGGAGGAACTGTGTACTTCGCACATCCCTTACATATATGTACACATATACACAAGTATATGCGGATGATCTGTGCACGGAGGAAAACTAAACATGTGCGTAGGTGTGCAAGTGATCACGCCTGGACTTGCAAATTGGTTCCGAAAGACTGAAGAAAACCTTGCGTTGACACTCACCCCTTTTCTAGAAAATCAGGCTTGCAGGAGCAGAGTCCACATATCTTGCTTAGCCGGTTCGGATGGGAGATTCATAAGAGGACGTCTCTACTTGGAACAGAAGAGGGGTGATAAGTCATAAAACAGGGTGTGTCGCACGACCTGGGTTCATTGTAGGCCTGCGCACTGTCTGTACAGAAGGCGCAAGGTATGGGCCTCAATTATAGCTCGGAGCAGTAAGTGAGCATCAAGACAACTGCGGACTGAGACGGTTGGTGGGAGATCAAGTGAAGAGGCCTACACGTACACAAGTATTCGAAATTGATAGACAATGAGATCAGAAGTTAGGTATTCCCGACAGCAATAGGGGCGGCCTCTCCTGTAGCATCAGGATTCCGCACCGATTGGGCGCCCTCCAAGGAGACGGCCTTCGACGCAGGGTCGGACAGAGAGGTCTTATCTGTAGAGTCAGGAGCTCTGGTAGAACCTTCGCCCGTGGGATTTGCAGTGACTGGCGTATCTCTGGGCAAACCAACGTCAGTCGAGTCACCTTGAGTGGCGTGTTCAGTTCTGGAGTTGTAGGGAAGCAGCTTGGCCAAGAGTTCCTGGTTAGTGGAGAGTTCTGAAATTGCAAGGCAAACTACATAGAACATATACTCGCGTTAAAATTGGCTTCAATTTCGGGAGGGCGACGTTTGTGGAAGAGAGCGCAAACACGTCGTGAGTTCGGAGATACGCAGCATCCATAGCCATCATTAAAACAATATATGTCAGGTACTGCGGACACCGTGGCAACAAATGTAGATAGGCTGATTGTGGCATGTGCATGCCGGGAAAATGGCGGCTAGCGAAGATAGTGGGCGACGGAGTCAATGGGTCGCGGTGAGAATGACGCCGCTTATTCACAAAAACTTGTCAGTCAAATGCACAAATGAGTGTAGGATGGTTATCCAGATAAGAAAGTACGAAAGAGGTACTTAATGGCTAAATAGATAATTAAAAGCGGTACATGTTTATTAATTTATACACATGGCAACAAAGTCAAGATTAATGATGAAATACGAAACATGTAGTTATCGCGTGATTTTAAGCTAACTCTTTGCGCACAGGCAATACCTGAAATATTTGAAAAGGATGATTCTCGCTGTTTCATAAACCAGAGGTTGCAGAAAAATATTGCGGAAAAACAAACGCCAAACTCACCGCAGTGCCCTTACTAAGATATATTAGTAGTCAAATTTGAAGATGTACTCAACTGTTCATTAAAGGCAAGCCGAAAGCGCAAGAAATCAGATCCAGTCTGTTTACTTATGGCAAATCTCTACTAGCAAATGCGAATTTCCGTCAAAAGGTCACCAACATCATAAGCATCCAAACTAAACAGGAAAGCGTGTTTAGGGAGCCTGTGGGACAATTAGAATGTCCAGAGCAATTAAAGGTATCTATACGCACCTTCGGCAGAAAAATTGAAAAGTGGAGGTAGGTGACGATTGTTGGGGAGAGTCGTGCCCTCCTGCCGCAGTTCATCAAAGAAGGGCTGGGCACAGGCCTCTAGTGGTCGCAATCGTTGATTCGCGGTGTAATCGAGAAGCTTGGATACCAAATGAATGGCTTCGGGTGGGGTTCGAGGCCTGAAGACCTGGAAAAATATGAACAGGAAAATATGGTTAGATTCGCATTCCATTCTAGAAGCACTCGATCAATAAAACCATAAATATTTCACATCAGCCCAAAACTGACCGGCATAATTAAAAGAACAAACCGAGCTTCTTAAAAAGTAGGCATGAGAATACAATGAATACGTCGGTGTCGTAAATGGATTTCGAACAGCGTTCCACTTCAAGACTGTAATAAGTCCGTGAGACGAGGCCTTTAAAAATCGCGCTAGATCACTCAACCGAGCACGACCACAACATCCAAAATCTAGGCGGGCGAACGATCTCAAACTCCTTCTTTTGGAAAGTGATAATCTCCCATACACTGTGAAGTCGAACTGGAAAGACATTTCACAGCTTGCTGCTACATGATATGACTGCCCACAAGAAGAAAGTATAACAGGCGAGGTTGGGAAAAGGGAATTAATTTTATTTGCAGAAAGCGCGTGAGAAGAGGAGGATGTTCTCTAACACGTCTAACTTTGTACAAATCTTCCATCATTTGCAATTACCTACAGTGCTTTAATACCTCATTTATTACCTGTCAATTAACAAGATATTTACGGACAATTATACTTTTGAAAAATAGGGCCAGCAAGTACGGATAGGGAACGACAATCGAGCCTGCAGAAAGTGGAACAAAGTATGCTTTGATCATAGTAGAAGAACAGTCCGTAAGGTAAAAACGCCAACTCCTGCCCAGTATGGAGCATGTCCTGGTAGTAACGCTGCGACTTTAGAGGACGTGTATCAGAAGGACCAGTATTCCGCAAACTTAAATGACCCTTCTAAAGCAACTGCATATGGTAATCGCAGCTATTATGCTAGCGTTAGGCATCTAAATTACCGTGGCGTATTGTAAGGAAGTTTACGTAATCTCGGCAGACGCAATCCAGTAAACAAACATTAGCACTCTAACTAATATTTTCGACTATCTACATATAAGCTAGAGTAAAATACAAGAACCTTTATAGTCCGATTGTCCCCGATTTGGGTAGGCAATAATGACTTGAGGACATACTCACCTCACTGATAAACAACCCACGCTGCTAAGACTGTGTATTTATCCTTATTTCAATAAGATGGTTTCTGTAATGTTGCTTAATAATTCCTACTTTGCATTGTTTAAAGACAGCTACGTTCGTAAAATACGTAGTGTAAGGGTAAGCCTAAACAATGATGACGGTCTGTGGCAGTAGTTTGTTTAAGCCATTTTGCTGGAATGAATTCACAAGTCAGCAGTCTTCTTTAATCTCGACTACAAAATCCAAACTCTCCAGTGTTTTTCGACTTATTTGTATCGAACGTCGCCTAAATAGATATGAGTTTGAAGATAGGTGTGGCCGGAGGCCAGAATAGGAGCCGTGTTCCTGTCACTGACGGCATGTCTTTCCAGTTAGTGTTTGGAAGTCGCCTTTTCGCATATATTGGCAACTACGCACTTATGATGAACAGTAGGACCTATGCCGAAGGGATATGTAAAAACAAGGCTGGTGAACATATTATCCCCAGTTTTCGAAAGTCTAAAACCCCTGACTAGACAGAAATAAGATAACCTGGCACAGTTAATTACCTCAGTTTAAGGGATTGAACGGCGAAGAAGAAAATTATTGCCTGTCGATTATCGGGATAGACGATAACGGTGGTTCATGCGCAGTAATTGGCAATGACTATCGTCACCAGGCTATGTGTGATTTGACCTGGGGGTAGGGGGTTGTCAGTTGGACTTGTTTCTAATCCGGTCATATGGCAGGAAGTAATCCATGCGAGTGGTAGGAGCCTATCTTGACATAAGGCAGTTAGGACAGCAGAGGGGGTAAAACGTTGTTTCATAAGTGGTGCACATAGCGTTGCGCCCATTGTGCCCCCAACGGAACTACGAACGCCGCAGGGGTAAACGAGCTCCAGTCACACTCTAGTTGGCCAGTCTTCTTCTGTGGGTTGTCGTATGGCTTCTTCGATTAGGGTGCAATGAGACTGAGGTCTGTAAAGACGTGGGTGATCAAGAAAATCTCAAGCCATTCACTTAACTATCTCACGCGACCTAAACACAACTACAATTTCAATGCAGTAGACGCTATTTGAATGTGAGAAGACAAGAGGAGTTATTTGATGTGCAGACCCCGAAGATAAATCGGTCTCGAGATTTTTGTGCCCAGAAAGCCCTAGGCATAACAGGAATTACGTATATTGTTGTCGAAACTGAGTAGCCAAAAGATGATGGTAGTAGCCTTAACGTGAGTGTGGAAGAAGGAAAACGGTGGGCTAATGAAGAGGGAGAGTAAACAGTGGTACTCGAGGAATCGATAAAAGTTATGGGCGGGTGAGTGATGCTTTGGATGCATAAACCAGGACATACTCTTGACCAGGGGTGAGCTTTGATTTGCGGAAACTTGAATTCACGATAATCGGGATTCATTTCGCGGATCTGCTCGTGCGTGGGAGTGCCAAGGACCTTTATGATCTCCACGAGTTGATCGACGCCGCTTTCGCCTGGGAAGATTGGTTGGCCGAGGAGCAGCTCTGCAAAGACGCAACCCGCGGACCAGACATCTACAGGTGGAAGGAAACGAAAAAAGTGAGAAAAAGGAAGGACACTGGAACCTTTATCTTCGACTGGTGAACGGGGGACCATCTTATAAAACCCTGCATTAATAAATTCTCCAAAATTGTCAAAAGGGTCAAACTTTGGTGCAGGGCCAATCTGAACGTGGAAATACTTTGCACAAGTTCAAAAGGATGGAAAAAACGTAGTCCTTAAATGGGTTGCCCAGCCAGCAGCGCTACTACTATTATTAAGTGAGTAAGATTCTCTGCAGGATGTTTAGCTTGCGGTGCATCTAGACAACTGAAAAACTGCCGGTCCTCATTTCCTCGACAATTCCACGACAGACCGCATGAGGGGCAGCAGATTTCTGATTAAATGCGGAAAGGAATACTGAACAAGGATAAACAGTACTATCAGGCGTTGTGAGACTGACGTAAAAGAACAAATACTGAAAACTGAGAGGCAACCTGACAGTATGTCAATCCAGCTCTAATGGTCGCTCCGTATTTCGGAGGGATGTTGGTTTGTTTGCTGGAATAGACCCACTCACGATCGATGGGAATGCCAGAAGACAGTCAGGACAGCTCGAGTAATTCGTGTGTTACCCGTGATTTGACCAGCGGTCTTGCGCAACGATACCAACAAATGGTGGCCTGGGCCTCGTACGCGTACTTGGTACAGCTGCGATCATGCCTGATCTAGTCGACCTCGCTGTCACACACTGCACTTATTTGTGCGTGACGGTCCGCGGCAGATCTGGACAACTCAGTCCACCATTTTCGCCGGCGATGGAGACTGAATACCGAAGGTCCAAGAATAAATTCCATGTCTTAACGAACTGTGTGGAGCCCGGTTTTCAGTTGACTTCCTCTTTAACTACGGTGCCGGATCGAGGACAGCAACAGAGTTCGTGAGGTGGACGACGAAGAACGTGACCAAACCGCCTTACTCGTCTCCCTTGGATGGTCTGGGATATCATTAAGATGTTTTCACAGTGAGTGCGGGCAGTAACACTTGAGACGAAGTCGGTGTACTTCACTCAAGGGATGATCATCAAGCAGTGATGGCCAAATACCTCCAGTTTTCGCTTATCTACGAGCACAGCCCAACATTCATAACCGTTTGTGGAAGGACTGACTGGACTCAAGCACGGTACACGCGAATCATCGTGGCGATGGAGATGTTGCGTCAAGTTCATAGACATTTTTTAAGGCTTGAGAAAACCCGGCGAGCGGCATTGATTCCAGAGACAGCGTCGTCCTTACTCTGTCCATTCGGCAGCGGCCTCGCCCGAGGTAATGAAAACTGCCGACTTCATCAAGTTGACAGCAATTAATCTCGAGGGCTGGCTTCTTCTAATTCAAGGATGCTGCTTGAAAACACTCTGGTCGTCCCATCATTTATAGATTAACCGACCGATTTAGCGACCTCATTTATCTGCGATACAATGGACTATAGATCACCAAAGTTTGGGGCTTGCAAAGCGATACCACCAGCGTACTCGAGGTCAGTCAGCCGGCGTCCGGGTGCGTACTTAACACCTTCGAAGACACGTAGGGTGCTTCAGAGAATCCAGCCAATGGCGTAGTCGGACAGGACGGGCGACGGCATGCAACCCCGTCGAACGCCCGACCAGATATCGGGCGGCTGGGATTCTTATGGACCTGAACTCGCGCGGTGGAGCGACAGTTGTCCTAGATCGTGGTGGTAATTTTGGTCTGCACTCCATCTAGCTCCATCATTCACAACAGGAATTCACGCGGAACAAATCGATCTCAGTGACGACGCTAACAGAGCGACGGCCGTCGGCTGTTGGTAGCCACGGCGGAATTCAAAAATGCACCTCACTGTGAATATCTGGCCCGCACATCCACCTCCAGTCGGGGATTCGGACCTCAGACAGGCAGCAGAAATATACGTTGTACTGATGAAGACTGCACGCCGTCAAATGTTGGGTGCCAGGGCCTAGGGACGTTCGCGCATTTCTGCATCCAATATCAAGAGCTCGCATAATATTTACTCACACCACTGAATCAGGGCTGAAGGGCGCGTCGGTTCCCGTGAACACCGTGACATGGATCGTAATACTGTAGTTGGACATGTTTCCATGAGGTTTCTTGGGAATTATGAGTGCAGGCGGGTCCTAAAAGCCGCTCAGACTGTTTGGTCGGATTGGCTCCTCTAGCGCTTTGGCTCAAGAGCCTAACTGCAAGGCAGAGATGGCAATCAAACTTATTTAATAGCGGTTCACGATCACCTTGCCACTGCTGCTATGGGGTTTTGCAGAATTTTTTAAGGCCGTCGGTGTGCCAGGTTTCTGCCCTCCGCACCATGATAGCATCATCGCTGCTGGTTTGCGACTGCCTATCCATCAGACTCGATAGTCGGCTTATTTCAGAGCTAACTTTCACTGAAGGCCGGCCCCCTATCCGCCACCTGTGGACGAGCCGGACAGCCAGCAGGTAGGCTAACGAGCAACACGTCTACTCGGGTAACCCGTCGGAGATCGACGACAACAGGAACAGAGACGACATGAAATTGACCAGTGAGAGAGCAGCTACTGAAAACGGGTTAGGATACGGCGTCAGGAACTCGAATTAGCTACTGAATAATGTTCATCACAGGCTGTGGAGGCGAAGTTAGTCGGTGGAGTCAGGAGATGAGGTGATAAACACTCTTGCTGACAATTGCATTCTTGAGCAATATCGAGTTGAGTCGAGCGGCGAAAAATCCGATGGATGACGCCAGAGAAATGGTTCGAACAGTATCTCGGAAGAGCAAAGTCTGTGAAAGCTGACAAGGATTAGGAGCATAGGGAATGTTTATGATCCTAACAAAAAAGAGTCGTCTATAACGCTTTTATCTCATACCAATTTGGCAGGTGTAGTCGACAGCACCGAATATGAGTTCGGGAGCTCGATAGTACCGTGAACAAATGTAGGATACGTTAGGTTCCCCACGAACGAGAGCTTTGGCACTAAAGGAAAACAAAAGCAAAACGGCATTTAGGTAAGATTCGACTTACAATCTACAAGTGCGGAAATGGCTGCCTAGCAGTCGAAGGCAATGACATTTGAGCTCGTCAAACCGTCCGACCTTAGATGCTCCTGTGTTCCGCGCAATACACAGCTACACGTGAATGCGGTTTAGCGTACAGTTAATGCAAGGCTACGGTTCAGAACGCAAGTCTAATCCGCTAAGACGACGCAGAACCTACCAGGCGAATCAATGGGGAAGAAACGGCGCCATTTTTCAACACAGAGCTGAGGGGGGAGCAGGTCCCAGTTGAGAGTTTTACGGTGGGAACAGAGAGATGCGCAAACAAGATGCTGCCGACGCAGGTAAAAGGGAGTGGTTCTGAACGAAGGAGCTTCTTTTATCACCAACGAATTTTGGCGTCTATCAGGTTTAAAATCTGAGATTCAACTGCATAGGTAAGTGGGAAAATTCTGTAGAATACAGACGTACTTTTCACGACTTACATCACCTACCGTGTATATATACCAAAATACCTGAGAAATGACAGCCTGGAAGTTTTGGATTTTCCACATAAGACGAGGAGAAAGCTCAGTTTTATTAATTCTACATTAGCACCGTGTTGTGGCTGGCTTCTGTTCCAGTGAGAAGAAAAAGGCGACACACTTCCCTTGCGTTTACGCCTCGAACTTCCGTCGCAGAACGGACTCAATGTACCGTGTTAAACGTACTGAACAACCGCAGCTCGCCGATCCGAACCAGTTGTGGGACGCGCGTTTTAAGCAGACCAGTGTCGTCATTCACGCAGAAAAAGGGCTATGAGGTCACGGTGAAGGACCTGGGTGTAGTGTTCAGCGCCTAATAAGCGTTTGGTGGTGTATAGGTGAAACGCATCATGCGATTTATAGTGACGAGATTTGTCATCCATGTCCATTTTACGGAAGGTAAAAGAGGTTCACCTTCCAAAATCACAGAGCTTTAGGACGCCTGTAGAAGGATCGAGAAGTAGATTCTGCGGTTTGATGTCCCTGTGGCAGATGCCCTTGCTGTGGATGTAGGCAAGGCTGCGGAAGAGCTGGTACATGTACAACTAAAAGGCGAAGAAGCAAAGGAATGTGTTATTTGGAGCAAACAAACTGCATCAAAACTCAGTAAATACTGGCTGATGTCTTTAAACACAACTCCACATTACAATGATTAATTAATTAGGGTCGTAATTTAAACCAACAGCGAAGTCAGTCACATTGCCTACGTCGGACCAACTTTAAATGAATATTTACTGAATAATTGCATCTTCCTTACTTGAGGCATTTGAAAGTAGTATTTAAGTCTGGGAAGTTTTGAAATTTTGGGAACATCTAAGGCCTAAGCATGATTATTCGTGTGACCCAGCCCGCATAGGTTCACTGGTGCAGCCTTTAAAGCGTATGTGATGCCTAGCTGTCGCAACATCTTATGAGAGCCGGGTGACTTCCCCATACGGACGTGCGCAGATGTACAAGTTTGTCTTATGGAAGGTAGCTTGTAGAATAGACAAGCTATGTCCTAAAATACACAGGAGATAGTACCTTTTTGAAAGGTCGAAACAGACCCCTTTTACGGGTATTAGCCTAAAAAGACGTTTGCAAAACGCCTACATCAAATTGATATCATGTGCAATACTTTAAGGAAGTGCGGCTGAATCAGCGCACGCCAATTAAGTGGTGACTGGGAACATTGTCAAACAAAATCAGCGAGCCAGTGCATGGCCTACTGCTAATCTGGATTCCAACCTCAGTTAAGCCATTCTCCAGTTAACAGTCACGTTTTAAGAGTCTATTCAACGTTTCATGGGTTTAGATACATATTGTAGGGCATTTTAGGATCGCACTAGCAAAATGTGTCAACATCTGTTAACGAGCAGTTAAAAGTCGACGACCATAACCGGTTGTGCAAGGGAGGAAGGAATATAAATGGCACAGAATAACTAACGAAAATATCCTTTCTGGTTAGCTAAGACCTCCCACGGCAAACGAAACACAGATCTGAACAAAACTGCAAAACGTACGATATCAGTTTAAGCCTTCAAATTAATCAATTACCTCCCTTTTCAGTTAAAAAGGAATCCATGAAATTCAAACTATAGGTTGTTTGCACTTTTTACCCCCACATAAACAGATAGACATGATTTCTGCGAAGTTGAAGCAATTCCGTCCCACTTCTTATTGGTCCGACACTGAAAACTTTGTGCCTTAAGATGAACGACCGGTTAGACGGCCAGAGACCGTTTCTGTGGGTAGTCAGTAGGCACAAGCGAGGTTTCATTCTTTACTCAGTTGCTTTTATGGGTATGTACTTAAAATCGGACACAGTAGATGACTTGGTGGTAGTCTGTGAAAAATGGGGTTGCATCTTTGAAGGAAGCGTTGCCGGAGAGCACAGTCTAAGATCCCATAGCTCGAAGGGGGCAGGCCAAGACAATAAGCCCTAATACGGTATGCTAGGGAGCGAAAGCGTCAAGACCAAACTTACTGAGGGAGTGATTATTTGGTAATTTGCAAACAGGATGACCCCCAAGAGTTCAGCGAAAACCATAAACATATAAGCCCGTGTATCGGTACTCACCTTTGCATAAATCATAGGAATAGTCTCCTTCTGGCGAGTATACCGCCTGGCAACACGGTATACCGTTTCAGGAACAAATTCGAGAACGAGGTTTAAGTAGACGTCTTCCTTCTGAGAAAAGAAGAAAAAGTGAGGTTATCTCTGACTGACCAAAAATACGCTTGGATACAAGACAAGTAAAGGGTGACAGTCCCCCACTAGCAAACTCATTACATGTGCCATTGAAAAAGTGCTCATGAATCAGTATGATAATGTTTAAAGAGGTATTACGAAAATCATTTTCGAAAACAGACACTTGTTTATTCGCAATGAACCTGTGTTGGTTGCAGTCTCAAGCCAAACAAACTCCTCAAAAAGCAAGTGCATTTGTCGTTATTCGGTTGGGATTTGCACGAAGTGAACACACGACGTGTAAAGTTAACGTCTGGGTATATTTAAACGATTCTTTTGTTCGCTTATGAGTAGCTTTCAAGACCTTATCCCTCCTCCCCCAAAAAGAAGTGACGCCATTTAAGCATAGTGAATACAGCAGGACCCTCAGTTGGGAGTTTGCGGTGTATGATCAGCTGGAATTCCGTTTTGCTCTCCGTGTGGCAAATTTGTCCGACTGGTCTTATCACTGATTAGGGAGGAATGTTATTGCGGCTATTGATGAATTGTGGGTTGGATCGTTCGGCCTTGTCGTTTGGTGGTTGATAGCTGCCGCCGGCTTGTGTACGAGTCTCACACCAAGTGGTGAGACAGCAGCCGAGGACTTCCGAAACGTCCCTGGTGCAAAGATGCGATCGCCAAAATTCGGGGTCGGTGTGATGTGGTCTCTCGTGTCGTCTGTGCGCGCACCAGTTGACAGAGGGGGAGAGGTGGCCATGGCGAAGATACTCTAGTTCACCAGCCTTATCTTCTGATTCACAGCATTGCGATTCGACGCGTCAAGAGAGCGCCCTTACGTAACTGTGTTTGTCGCCGATTGGGTGGCTGTTGTCAACGTTTCGTATCTGCGTCGCATTTGAAGCTTTTCTAAGCAATATGATTAGAGACACAGGCCACTGCTATGCTTTTTAAACTCGACAGAAAAACACGGGAGTAGTGCAATAGACTAGTCAATAATGCATCCAAGTTGTGATGCTTGTAAATAATAATTGTCGCATTTCTGTGAAGACTTAAGCTCTACTGCTGTTACCATAAATTCGCTACGGGCCCGGTAAGACAGTATTTTGAGAAGCCATATTTTGGCCCCGTTAAGACTGTTTTAAGATTTTTAAGAAGAAAGGTTACCAGACGACACACCTTCCAAACACATCAAAGGCAAAAGCACGGTGCGACGACCATTTTGACAGCCTCGTATAAAGATAGTCAAGTCCGCTCCCAAATAACAACTATATATGCCACATGTGAAAACAGGATCAAAAAAGCCCAGAGAATCAGCACCTGGCCTTATATAGGGAACAAACATTCTGCTATTATAGTATATTCACCATTTCATGACACTGAACTTTTATAGTATTGTCCATGTCTACTGGATTTCTTATGCAATGCATTCATCTAGAACATGCGGCTCGACGTCTTGAACGATGTCGTTGGCCATCGTGATAATTGCGGCTATCAGAGAAAAATTTTCTTTGATTGGAATATCCCACAAAAGATCACATCTTCGTCGTGAAGCGCGCATCCATTGGTTAATATACTAGGTTACGATGACGGCTGTAAAATGGCTTCCGAAAGGTTAGACAAGCATGACATTGTTACAAGCGATTATGGTAATCAAGTGTGCAATGTGCAAAACCCAATATTCCTCCCTTCCGAAGGTAATGCAACACGCATTTTGCAAACCTACCCGTCAACTACTTGAAGCCTTCAACGGTACGAAGCTGGAGTTAAAAAATTAACGAAAATATTTTGCACATATAGAAGTCCTATTTGCACCATCCACATGGTTATATTTTTAACAGAGGACAGGCTATACCACCGAAAAACACATTAAACCAGTTGAATAGTGTAAATGGTGTGTTGTGTTACAAGTTTATAGGCGGCGTTAAGGGTATTGCATCCTTCTCAGAAAACTAGGCCCGCAAAAAAGTCAAACACGATGTAACATTGTTAAATCTTGTCTACTAATACCTACGGGTCACCACCACAGCTTGTGATGCCGAGTGGGAAGTTGGGACTGTAGCGCACCACAAGCAAGTAACACTTGCACTTTCAGTACCCCCTGCAAGTCGAAACACGGCAACTGTGCCAATTTGCAAATCTGTATGAATGGGCGACGTGACATTTTATAAGATAAACGGACTCCGCATTCATCTATCTTTTCAAGCTGACAGACTGGAATTTAGCAGAAAACAATGTTCGGTAGCTGGCAAACAGCGTATGAAATCAATTTGGCTTTTTCCAACCTATTTTCCAATAAAATTGGAAAAAACCAGCTTCATGGTTATCGGATAAGTATTACAACGCAGAGAAAAAGCTAAGTGCGAGCGTTCAGTGGAAGCCCTCTAAGGGCAGTCCGCAGCAAAGCAGGCAGTGTTGGAGTAACACCAGGCAGGTAACTGGTCCTGTTCACTGTGCTGTAAACAAGCACACCAGGGAGCTCGCTAGTAGCGACACTTTTTGTCACAAACGAGATGCTAAATGTAAAAGTAAAGTCTAAATGGGTCTGACAGGGCACACAAGATTGTGTAAATGCAGTATTATGAGAAAGTAGACTGCGCAATGCTAGTGAGGGATGGAGGAGGGCGAACTTACTTTTTCCCCGACGGCATGGAAGAAGTACTTTAGTTTCACAATATTCTGATGGTCCAGAATCCGCATGATTTGCAGTTCGCGATTCTACAACGGATAATAGACATTTGAGCAAAAGTGCACATTGTCCAGCGCCTGTTTAGAAAGAACTTTAGGTCTTGCACAGTTCGGAACAGATGTTGGCGGTAGCATGATTTAACTTCGAGTGCCGTATATAGCGCTAATCTATAGTGCAGCTCGAGGGTTAACACTCGGGGAACAAATACAGCATGTAAATTTCTACGAAAGTCTGACGAACATGCGACTATTTGCGATTTTGTATAAGACCAATAGGCAGGTTGATTTTCAGATGCTAATTTACAGAATCGTATGGGCAGTTTGTGATACACGGCGCGATAATGAGAAGACAACTGTTATGGTCAAGCTCATGTTGAGTCCTATAGGGGCATCAAGAGAACAAACTTCTGAGTTCGCATTGTCCAAAAAATCCTAGAACTGGCTGACGGGTTCTACAGAGGGTCTGCTTGTGAAAACTAATGAAATATCGCGAGGGCGTAGGCATTACGACAGGACTGACGTGGTGTAGTGCTGCACAGAGGGTCGAGACATGCATGGAATTGAGCGAAATACAAGCATAGCCGTCGCTTGAGGACTACGTGTTATGCGGTACTTATGTCACCTGTGCTGTCGGGGACGGATATATGTGCTGGTTAAAACAGTTCAGCGCAAAACCGACAAGTTGGGCTGGTCGGCGGATTGTGATTTTCCATTTTGAAATTTCAATCCTATAGCAAAGGAGTACGACGTGGAACACTCAGGCGCTGTTCGTAAACCGATCTTACGTATACTGTTACTAAAGCGACCTTGGCAACAGCATCAGGACGTATATGTTCGACTACCAACTGAAGAGGTTTCCCGAGTCCAAGGGAAGCTTTTATCGGATCACTTAAAGTGATCACATCACACGTTGAAATACAGTTGTTGGTAACACCACTGTAGTAGAAGCACCCGTTGGCACCCTATACCTCTGAACCGGGTGGGCTCTAATCTGGCAAAAGTACTTTAAGGGGCATGAAATGTATAGTCAGCCTGTCCTCAAATCCCACCATACAATGTGCAATCCTCGCTCGTCCAAAAAAAACTAGTTGCTTATTTGCCCTCGGACGCACTGGCTGAGATCAGGATAAGTCGATCGCCGCAGACGACCCAGCATTAGTCAGGTTTCGCGACTGAGGAACAAAACCATTGAAGATTGAGGAATTGGTGGGTTAGGTCCCCGAGTCTTCAATTTAGCCACCGTATGGATATACAACCGGCAAGGTGGTGGTGACATGAAATGGTGTTATGGCATGTTAAATCGTCGAAAATCATTAAACTAACAGAGAAATTCGTGACCATCATGCCACGGTTGAAACACCCGATTATGGCATTTGCTGAGTAGTTATTGTAGCAGACCTCAAAGTTCTGCGACCTGACAGAACCACAGTCGACGGTCTGCAGTAGTTTATTCGTCAAGCCAAAGAGCCCGTTTTATTCAGTTATCTTCCACCAAGTACCGGCACACCAGCTGCTGGGCCAGGTAGCCAACAAATAACCCAAAAGTCCGACACAGGCGTCTTTGACCTCCTCTCGTTCTCCATCGGGTGAAGGTCAACTTAGAAGGGATTAAACGCAGTGGTTAATCAGGGGTTTTCTGCCTACCTGGATGAATATTAGTTATCCTGGCTTACTGGATCAGAGGTCATATGAGCAGAGTCAGTAGCGAGGGAAATGGCCCCCGAACTACCCACTCCGTGTACCTAACCTCTAGGCACATTATGGAGTGTGGTCAACATGCATCCTACCACTTGGCGGGGAAAAACAAAAGTCGCTTGTCAATAGGTTAGGAAATAATCGGATGTCCACACTAGGCTTTGTCTTTTCTTAGGCACGCCGCGTTCTTGTCCAGGAAGGAAGATTATCGATATATGGACAACGGGATGCGAATTGATTAACCGGAAATATTGGTTGCTTTAAAGTTTTTTCCTCAAGAGTTAATCAAATCATGTTAGAAGTACTAGCTCAGCAAGTCCGCAAGTCACAGGTTAACGAACTTGCCTTGTTTTCAATATGTCTTAATGCAGGAGTAAAACGAATAAACTAAGTCGAAAGTACCTACCAAGCCAAGGTTCGAGTTTCAGATGAGCGTCAAAAGACATCTTGATAATAGCTGTCCGGAGGACTACACAGTTATTCGTCTATCGGTAATCTTTTAAGCCATGACATCATGTGTGTCCTAAGTGTTTGAAGGCGTGTCATACTAAAAAGAAGCATAAGCTAGGTCGGCCTCATCCTTTATTCCCCTCCCCCGTCGTGTACGGGTTGCGCTTTGGAAAAAGAATTGACAGATGACAACAGACTTAGTGGCTTATGTGGCATGACAAGCCTATTTTGATTTAAATCAGATATATCACGGCAGCACCGACCGTTTTTAGGGGTTAATCAAGTCAATGGCACTTGATTCCGTAGATGAAACTTGTATGACTAGAATTAAACACATCTTTAGACAACGTTGAAAAAACAGTCGTTACAGGGTTCGTTATCAGAGGGATAGGCGGTTGAACATAAGGAGTAGAAACGCACAATGAGTACCAGTTTTTTTTACCAATTCACCCCATCTTGAGTCAAGAGAAGGCTACCAGAGGCCAATCTCACCTAATTAATTGGGCAGAAAACGGCTTTGAGTACTTCAGATAAATATCATTATAAAACCAACCTTAAACCGTCGATCCTGGAGAACTTTCTTGACGGCAACGATCTCATTGGTGTCGCACAAACGGGCCTGGTAGACGACACCAAATGAACCATTGCCAACCACCTTAATATCTGTGTAAGATATTTCTTTTGTTTTGTTGCCCTCTCCAAGGGAGGCGACGACGGTGATGATTTTACCAGAATCCTTCGCTGAAATTTTTTAAACAAATCCCATTTTCTATGAAACGCAAGTGAAACATCTGAAAAAGGACCAAGTGCAGGAGAAGAAAGGTGGAGTGTAATAGATCTTGTCAAGTACGCATGCGGAATTGTTGTGATTGGCACCTTATCCAATGAGGAACAGAGACCCGTGCCTTTCGCAAGGATTGTACGGGGCTGGATGTCGGAGAGAATGAAGTTTGTGAGATAAACTGAAGTCTGTTCATATTTTACTACGGTTATCGCTACTCACGATAGTGATTAGACTGCGTTCAAAACGTAAACTAATGGCACGATCGACGCAAACATGGTAAGATAGTGAAATTCCAAGACATTTTAGAGACTTTCATATAATTTAGGTGGCCAGTCTAGGCCCATGCTTACTGAAATTACAGAAAGAACTAGACCACCTGTATGTGCTATAAGGCTGTTAATTTCAAATACATGCGTCATGCAGTGTTTTTAATTTCAGCAGTGTCCTTAATCAGATGTTAGAGGATGCAGATTTGCCCGGCCCGTGCAAAACTCCATTGGTTCTAGGACGGTTGAAGGCAGAAGGAATAAAAGCCGTTCACAAATGCCGTTCACTTCTACATGAGAGCTTAACAGATGCCACCGCCCCAAGGCCTGGCTAGACACTATTAGCGAATATCTCGTGCTAGTTTTCGCTCCTCGGTATTCTGTCCTTGTTAACTAAAATAACATCCAATACTCAATGAGTAATCTCTGGGGACACGAATCAATACGCTTAATTGTGAATTAATAAGAGAATAAACTAATGAAACGCGACGACCGTTAAGTAGCAACTGCGGAAAAGAGGACTACGGAATACTCAAAGCTGATAAATCGGGCATCTTTCTGAACAGGATACATGAAAACATAAACTTCAGTCAGGTGTGGATTTTCTTTCAAACATAAAATAAAGTAAGTTGTGTAAGTACTGGGCATCGGCGTGCTCCAAACTGTTGAAGGAATAAAGAATTACAGATGCTAACAGGTAAACATGGGCGGCTCTTCTGACCGATATAACTGTAGTGGGTGGATTTTGAGCGAGCATGTGAAACGGCGCCGTACGTAGGGACTCTGAAAGGCAACGTAAGCCAAAGAAGCAGAGCGGGGAGTGTAACGTCCCCTGATCTGTGCAGGGTTGTTTGAATGCCGTGACACTTTTGGCGCGTGGGCCTAGGATGGAGATGGCGTAGCCGCATGTTGGTGAAGATGGCCGGTGTCCCTTCCACTCTCTTCCGCCGATCCCTTCTCCCGCTCCGTATTATGTCGTAACGTTCGTACCGCTGCCCTCACTACATCGGCAACCCCCTCGGCCCTTCCCTGCAGTTGCTCCCCAGCGCTGCACTCCCCACCGGTTTTCCAGCTGGCATGTTGGTTTCGCCTCTCCACCCAGACAGGTCACTCGACTGTTGTAACTCATCCCGTTTGTACTTTTAACTGTCATTATACTCCTTTGCGATTCCCTTTTCTGCTCATTATATCTCTCGTCCATCGATCGTTTCTTCTTCCTTTATGTACGGATGAGTATCGTGAACTGCTAACAATCGTATTCAGATCAACACAAGCCAGGATCTCTTCCTCGATATCCCGTTACGTGGTTGTGTGCTACCCTTGACGTCCTCGGCCGCTACTGGAGACTCAAAGCACTCCAATACACACGAACAAAACACTAGGTTGTTGCCTTCAGAATTTGGAAACGTTCGGTCGTAATTGGTAATCCAGTTCCCAGACATTAATAACTTCACAAAGTGTCGAAAAGTAAAGCTGGGAGTCTTCACGATCTCATTTTATCGAAAAGTATAGAGCTAACAAAGAATGAAAAGGTTCGGCCAGGTATCAAAGGGGCGGGCGCATGCTATTTTACAAAGGCCTCGGAAGAGCCCTTAGAAATAATACGAGTGGAATCGCACAAGACAGCTGAAGCAGTGGGAGTATGTGAAGAAAATGTCCAAAATATCAAGAAAATACCAAAAGCCGACTCACAGCCCATTATCGGAGCATCACCCTAATAAAGTTGGACTATTCGGAAAGACGCCACGAAGAACGTGGAGAATTTAAACAATTACTTGAAGGCAGCAAATGCAGATTCACCCATGAATATGACTCCCGAATAAATGTTGTTACCTCGGAGTGGAAATCCTCGTGGCTGCAAAAACCACACGCCGAAGACCTCAGCTAAAATTTTTAACAAGATTGGAAGAAAAGATAAGAGGGCCAACTCCAACGACTATTTGCAGCAAGTATGGAGAAATTCTACAAAAGCACTAAATTAAAGGCCAGAACCGAAAAGCATGCAGTAAAA